TTTTTATTTTGAAAAGAATAAAACCAAATGAGAAAAAAATAAGAAAAAACAAAATGGGGTCATTCAAAACAAAAGGATGGACATAGTACATAATTTAAAACCACAATACAAGGTGATCTACAATGGTTACCATGATGCCTCTTGTTATCTTCAGTAGAATTGCCCATATCATCAGACACAGTAAAATTGAGCATAGCAGTACAGAACAAAATCAATAAAAAGCAAATATTGGGGACATTATAGGGCTTCAAAAGGAGGTAATGGTCAAACCAGAATGAGTATAATTGTGAATCTTATTGTCTTCAGAGTAGTTGCCTGTACTCTCAGATTTGATACTATCAAACATAACAGATTTGAATAAAACCAGTCAAGACAAGATGGTCATCTAATAAGACAAATGCAAATAAAATCAGTCCAAATAAGACAGTGAAAGCAATTGGGGTCTCAGATTAAGTTAATAGGAAATTAAAAATGGTTATCATAATATATCCTATTATCTTTGGAATAGCTGTCTATGCCTTCAAATCTAATACAAGTAGACAAACTGGAAGAGAATATAACCAAACTAACCAGAGCGATGAAAGCAATATGGGCTTCTAATTATGATACAAGATTAACAATGTCCTCTGCCTTCCTTATTTAGACAATTACTCCCCTTTCACTTTCCCAGGGTACACTGTACATTTTGTATCCCACTAATTCCTTTAGTTTTTAGATTAGGAAAGCAGCCCACTACTTACCTAAGTGGTTCTGAACTTTTTTACCCCCGAGCTTGGTCTCAAGTTGTATCCATTTACTTACAAGAGCCTCAAGGTTTTCCTTCCTTATAGTTGAGTAATTCTCCATTGTATAAAAGTGTTATGTCTTTCAAACCAATCTGCAGCTGATGGGCAAGCTACCCCTACTTTTTTCTGGTTCCCTGTCACATTGAGCATTATTTTTTTCACCTTTGACTTTCAGTCCATAAACCTTCTTCCAGGTTAAATATGTTTCTTATATAGAGCATCTTGATGGACCCTATCTTCTGATTCCCTCTGTCTATTTCTTTTTTATTAGTGTATCGAGGCTGTCCTTGTTAGCAATTATGGCCAATCTTCTCTGCCTCATCTCTGCCATGCTATTTTTCTGCTGTTGGTTGTTTACTTTTTTCCCTTCATTCTACTGTGTGCTTCATTCAGTGAGCCTCCTTTGTCACTGTTCTTGAAACCATAGTCGTTTTTTCTCTCTCTCTAGAACGATCTTCAGTATTTTCTGTAGGGTTGGATTGATGGTCACGAATTCCTTCAGTTCCTGTTTGTCATGGAAGCAGCTTGTTTCTCCATTAATTTTGAGAGATAGTTTTGCAGGGTATATCATTCTGGGTTGGAGATTATTTTCTTTCAGGGCTGAAATACTTTGCTCCAAGCTCTTCTTGTTTTTGTTTGTGTCAAGAAGTCTGTCATGATTCTGATGGGTTTTTCTTTATAGGTGATGTTTCTTTTCTCTGACAGCTTTTAATATTCTGTTCTTGTGTTGAATTTCTGGGATCTTGATTATTATATGTCTGGGTATAGATCTATTTTGGTTATAGCTGGCTGGAGTTCTATGTGCCTCATATAGCTAGACAACATTTCCTTTTCCTATGCTTGGGAAGTTTTCTTTAATTATTTTTGTAAATAGCCTTTGTATTTTATTTGTGTTGTTTCAAATGTATTGTGTTCTTCACTCACATTTTTTTATTCTTAAGTTACAGATCCTCTCATCATCTTCTATCCTTTGTATTGTTAATTCCTGGTTCCTTGTTATTTTAAGAGATCTTTCCTTTCACAATCACACATTGTAAACTTGTCTTCAAGGTTTGATAGTCTAGTTTCTTCCAAGTAGTTTTGCCAGCTGTCAATGGCAATTTTAATTTCCTGGTAGTCTCTTTGAATCTATTTCATGCATTCTAGATTTTTAAAATATTCTTCATCAAAGGTTTTTCTCCTTTTTCTATGTCCCTCCATTCTTTTATCTGTGTCTTCTTGAGATGTACTTAGCATTTCTTTTATTATTTTTCTTATAGTTTCATTTACTTGTATTAGAATTTCTGTCTTTAGTTCTTTTATAATGTCACAAAGGTAATTCTTTATTTTGCTGCTTTTACAGACAACACAGGGTGCAACTCCCGATTTCTTCTGGGTTTACCTCCTCTGGGCCAGTAGTGTTTGTGTTGGGGGCTGGAGGTTTCCTTTTGTTTTTTCCTCTTGTCATGTTTCTGTTTTCCTCCAGATGAGTGGATAATGGAGGTCCCTGGCACTTCCTGTATTGGCCACAATTACTCTGAAGCATGCTGGCTAAGGATTGCTGCCCTCCCCAGTCTGCTGATGGCCACTGAAGTACAAGTAGGAGCAGGACAGGCTGGACCTCCCCTTCTGAGCTGGGCAAGCTCTGGAAGTCTTCACCATGTTATTGTGTACCTCACGGACAGGGCCAGTTAGGTATAGTTTCAGGGAGACCTCGTCTTTTGCTATTGGATTGGGCACAAAAGCAGGACTCAGTCCAAACAGTTCTCACCAATCTGCTCTGTACTAGAGGTGGCTGACTGAAGCTGCTGCAGTTGTGGTTCCAAGTGTACCCTGCTTGACTCCAAAATGGCACCCAGCCCCTCACCCATTCCTGCAGAAGGACTGATTTCCACATACTCCGGTATGAACCTCTGAGCCAGATCTCCGAGCCAAGTGCTGCTCTCCATTCAGTGGCTCCCCTCCATAACTGCTTCCTCTTACCAAGGCTCTCAGTCTTGCCAACCTCCAACTTCACTGCGACTGTGTGTCTCTGGATTCCAGCAGCATTTTGTACTCAATAGGATCGGCTCTGGTGAGAGCGGGTCTGTCTACAGCCTTCGGTCCATGATTTTTGTTTCTTTCTTTCTTTTTTGTTCTTTCCCTTTAATTTCTTCCTGGGTTGAGAGGATTCATCTCCCTCCATCTGATCTTCTCCAGGATGTTTTCTTCTGGCATCTGAGGTGTTTCTCTCAGAGGCTCCCTATTTTGCTGCTTACTGATCCACCATCTTCTGGAACTCTAGGATTTACTTATTTCTTATGTACCTTGATATATATTTAGCTCAGATATATCTTATGTACTTCTAACAAATAATATCAGTCTATTAACCAGGCATTAGAAATACCATCTGGGATGTTTCATAAATACCTCAAACTTAATATGCACCAAAACAAATGTATGGTCTTCTGTATTATATTTACTCTTTCTGCCTTTTTTATACTTCAAGAAATCAACATTTAATATACGTAATTTTCAAATCCAGAAACATAGGGTAAAACTTTGTCTCTTTTTTTCTTTTCACTACCAATCCCTGCACTGTAGTACTTATAGTTATTCAAGTACTCTTGGTTCCGCCTATCAATAGCCTCTTGACTCCCAATTCTACCATACTATATCATACTTGGCTCAGTTATTATGACAGTCTTCTAACTTGTCTCACTTTCCACATTGCCTTTATTCAATCTATTTGCCACACTATAGCCAGCATATTACAATAGTAAAACATTGAAGATGTCTTGCCTGAATACTTCTAAAAAGGATTTTCACATATTTAAGTCTGAACTTCTAATAATAAATATATCTTTAACCTCAGCTTCTTCACATAGTTATTCTAATTTATCTCTTACTTTCTGATCTAAAATTCTACCTCAGTTATTTATGTCTCCATTCTTTTTCTTTAACAAGTTACTATGTGAGTAGCAAAATCTGTCTCTGTTTACATAGCAGTAAGTCCCAGAAGTTTCTTTGCCACTAAAATATATTGAGCTTTTCTACCTCCATGATTGCTTGACAGCTTGTGTTTATTTTCATCTACTCATAACTGTAATTCATTGCTTACATGTCTATCTCCCATTAGTCTTATGGCTTAATGATGGTGAAGTCTCATGCTTACCATTGTGAATAAAGCTTAGCAAAGTTCTACTTAGCACGCTTTATTTATTTATTTAATAGTGTTAATCAATGGACTGAAAATGTCTGTGACAAAAATAGCCACCATTAACCTTAGTCTGCTGCCTGAATGCTTATAAAGTTTTAAGGGATAGATTAGAAATGAGGAAGTGGAGAATAAAGACAAAAGCTTGATTACTGAAATAAGATAGAATAAACAAAGTTTACTGGGTAGCCCAATAGCAATTGAGAATTGCAAAAGAAAAATTAAATGTCATTGAGAATTGTAAACACTGAGGCAAAAGTGTCATATATATGTATTGAAATTTCTCTGTTCAATACATAGGCTGAGTTTGCAATGGTCTATCAAATCCCACACTATTACACCCTTTAATGATGATTCTGATGTACAAACTTCAGATCCATTTCAATGAAGAATGAGTGACTACAAAGTCTCATATAAAGAGTATAAAATATCTTATTCGAGTCTGAAATGGTGAGAATTAACCATACAGGTTCCAAAAACAAGGCAGATTAGATATTGAATAACAAACAAAAGGCATTTTTTAGAATGAGATTACACATTAAATTATTACTAAAGATTATATATTAAAGATAAAACATAAGTTTTTTATCAGTCTTAATCAAAATCTTTTCAGTGGTAATGAATCTAATATATGAAATAATGTCTCTGAACAAAGAACAAGTACTAATTTCTCTTATATATGTAAATAATTAAACAGTAGTCTTTTTAATAGTAGTTTCACTGTAATACAGCTATTTCTTCCAAGAATCAGAGTTTGGGGGAGAAAATCAGATTTTGCAGTGTCTTATGAAACTTATTTCTGACAATCAAGTTTGCTTTTGTTAATGAAACTGAACTTACATCAAAAGACAACCATTACTGCTGGAAATCTGCTGTGTTGGAGATCTACTAATAGAAAGTAGGAAATGTCCTTTTCTGAGCTTTGCTATGAAGATCTTTCAGAATGCTTATTGGTATCAGACAGATCTATCTTAACTAAATGCATGGAGTTTGAAATATCATAGTCTCTTTTTGCATTAAAATGTAGTTTTCCTCCTTACCTTGTTGTACAAAGGATCCATACACAAACCACATGGAGTTGTAGAGTGTAGTAGATGTCATCGATCCCATTTGTAATCGTGGGGGATTCAACCAGTTCAAGAGGTAGACCAGTAGACCCACCAAAAGGACTGTGCCAGCAATGCAGGCCCACAGAGAGAGATCAAAGGGTGCGAGGCAGGCAAACATATCCATTGTCTTCTCTGCCCTTCGAAGGAGTACCCCCACCGAATAGTCCATGTAACGTGTTGTAAAGTCCACCACGTTCTCTCGATCTGGAGTGATGGTTAATGCAGAAATCCCAATATCGGCTCTCTGAGAAATTTAAAGAGAAAGGAATATATTAATAGTGTGAAAAACAGTTTGATTTGTGACACTTCGTCTTTCCTGGAGTAAAAATAAAATAGATGTTTCAGACAATATCCTAAGTCTTTTTATATAAACTGAAAATACTACAGAGATTTCTTATAGAAGAGTTATGTGTGAATTTTGCATTTTTTACTGAGAATCTTGTCTTGCCGAGTCAAATTAATCTCCTTGTTCATGATCCCAGTACATGTGAAATCAGTGAACCATGCCTCAGATACAGACAACACATGAACAAAAACTGTCTTCTTCTTTTAAGTAGTTTTACCATAGCCATTGTCAACATAGTAGCAAAGGACAACCTTGAAAAGTTTGCCTATGAAAATGTTATTCTACATGTTTTTCTATTTTTGTTTTGTTTTTGTGGTGTTGGGATCCAGTCTGGGCATACCTCTCACATATTAGGCAAGGGCTTCATCATTGACACTCCCCTGATCCTAAGATATTCATAACTTTAAAAGTATTAGTGTTTGAAAATTTCATTAAGAATTTGAAAACTTTGACATGTTGCTTTACTATTGGTTAAACTTTCTCCGCAGAAAAAATTACATCATTAGGCTCTAAATATATTAGAGTTTGTTAGTGTGTAATGTCATAGGCCAGAGGTCTCTACCATGATTCCGATGTATAAATTTCAGATCCATTTTAATGAAGAATAAGTCACTATGAAGAAAAGAACTTTTCTTTTTGTTGAAACTTCTTTTCTCAGTGTGTGTCTCTTTAGATTCTCAGTGATACTACTCATACCCATGGCATACTTTATTTTAATACATATCACAGAATCATAATGAGCACAGAATGAAGGATGAACACTTAAATTCTATGATGTGTGGACGCATATTTAAATATCTAAGAGATGCATCTTATTTGAAATCATGATCTATAGCTGTGATTAAACCTGATGGAAGTTTCTTCCAGAGAAATACAAACACTAGTACATGTTATGTTGAACATTTTCTAGTTATTTTCTATTATTGTTTTAGGAAAAAGGATAGAAATTTATTTTATAGCTTTTGAATATCAAAGGAAAAAAAAGCCATGAAAAATAACATGCCCGGAGAATATAAACCAGCTTAGATGGATAGATCTAATCTCTAAAGTAATAATGCTTTAAAAATGTTCTGGGCAAAATTCAGTGTGTGGTGTGTGTGCACACAGAAGTTAAGCCTGTATCTTTTTGTTTATCGGGCTAGTGCTCCGAATTTATATAATTACTTCACTTAATCCTTACAGTGAGTTATGAATTTTATTTCTCCCTCTATTTCCTAAGTGAAGAGACTAAAACATGAAGTTTATTGTTTAGTTCTCAGTTAATCAGCAAGGAAATCAGTATTAACACTACATTTTTTCTACATCAAAATTTGGGCTCATAAGCATTTTAACCGCATTACACAATGGCATGCTTTGTCCAAAATACCCATAATGGAGGGAGCTAGAGTAACTCATTTTAGGGTGATTTCTTTACAGACTGTCTTAAATTTTGCTTTTTAAAAATTATACCATCTATATGGCTACAGGCCTATATTATTGTATGAACTACAATAAGTTTAAAGTTATTAATTGAAAGAATTACACTTCATACTCTATAAAAAAGACTTGAAGAGAATCATTTTGATTGCTTTTAAGCTCATATTTTTTTATAAGTCGTATTGAGAATTTAGTCCTTTTACGTTGAACCTGAATTCTTAGCTCTCTGCCCTGTCTCTTCTGAGCTTCAGTGTATTTATTTGTGAAATGAATGTAACTGTTCAATAACATTATTGTGAGTTGACTCATTTTCTTTATCACAAATATGAGTAAATTACTCCTTAAGATTCAATTACACTCGCAGAACATGCATTTACTCTTTTGAGACAGTAATCTCATATGGATCAGTAATTTACTTTTTGTCCTTCCCTGTTTTATTAGTATATGTTTGTGATACATAATAAATACAGTCCTCATTGGGAACTGCTGTATACCCATACTGCATCCTATTTAGTTTATTTCCCCTTTTCCTCATCTTTCTCCCTTCATCTCCATCTCCAGATCCAATTCCCACCTCCACAAAGTCTATCCCTTTGTTTGCTATTATCTACCTTTTATTTGACGTTCAGATTATTTAATCTTTGAGTTTCTCATTTAAGAGAAACTATGCAATATTTACCATTCTGTACCTGATGTATTTTCACTTAGCATAATGGTCTCAAGATGCATCCATTTTTCCTAGTCTCATCCTTAGTTATAACTGACTAGTTCTCTATTGGGTATAAGTACCACATTTGCTTCATTTATTCATCTGTCGGTGAGCACGTGGGCTGGTTCCAAGATTTAGCAATGATGAGTTGCACTGATGTAAATATGGGTATACATGTTTAATTGTAATATGACATCTTTAACTCTGTCAGGGGAATATCCAGAGGAAGTAGAGTTGGGTCAGAGGAAATCTGTTTTTAAATTTCTAAGTAATCTCTATACTCATTTCCATAGTGGACACACCAGTTTATATTCCCCTCAACAAGGTAAAAGGGTTCCAATTTCCTCACAACCTCATGATGACTGCTGTTTTTGAGTTTATGATGATAGCCATTCTTTCTGGAGTAAGATAAAGCACTGTTTTTTTGATTTGCGTTTCTCTAATGGCTGAATGTGCCAAGTACCTATTCATGTATCCATCTGTCATTCCAATTTTTCCCTGAAAAGTGTTCTCTCATTTCAATGGCCCATTTTTCCTTGGGTCACTTGTTTTAGAAATACAATTTTTTATTTCTTTAAAATAATTAATATTCTAGATAACGTTTTAAATGACTGACATTCTAGATATCAATTTTCTACCTAGAGAGTAGCTTGGAAAAAGTTTTCCATTCCTGTAGTATGTCTTATCCTTCTGTTTGTAGTTTCTTTTTCCAGGCAGAAGCTTTTAAACTTATTTAGTTCTGTTTGGTAACTATTGATGCTATTTCTTGGGCAATTAGGGTTCTGTGAAAAAAATATTTGCTTATGCCCATGTCTTTATTAGTCTTGCCAATTTTTTCTTCCAACATTTATGTATATACCTTTAATTCGTTTTGATATGGTTTGCAAAGTATGAATATAGGTTTGTTCTTTAGCACATGAATAGTATTTTCCCAGAACTGTTTCTTAAAGAGTTTATCTTTCCCCTAGCATGTGTATTTGGCCCCCATGTCAAAGATCAGGTTTCTAGGTATGCCTGCAGATCTTTGCACATGCTCTGTTCTGCTCCCTTTATCCACGTGTCTGGTTTTTGTGTGTGCCAGTACAATGCTATTTTTATTCTCTGTAGCTTTGTAATAGAATATGAAACCTAGGATTGTGATGCCTCCTGCTTTCTTCTTGTTGTCCAGGATTGTTTTTGCTCTTCTGGGTCTCTTCTGGTGTCATATTATTATTATTAGCATTTCTTTTTTATTTCTATGAATAATGCTGTTGCTATTTTGATTGGGATTGCTTTAAATCTATATAGCATTTTGGTAATGTGACATTTTTTAATAATATTGCTTCTTCCTATCCAGGAATAGGGGATGTATTTACTTTTCTTGATAGTCTCTTTAATTTCATTTTTCAGAATACTATAGTGTTCATTTAGAGGTCGTTCATCTCCTTGATTAGGTTAATTCTTAGGCTTCTAATTTTTGTTGGCATCACTGTGAATTGGATTGCTTTCTGATTTCCTTTTTGATTGACTCAAGGTTGGTGTATAGGAATGCTATTGAGTTTGTAAACTGGTTTTGTATCTTGCTATTTTGCTGAATTTATTTATTGGAGTCTTTAGGTGGGATACTACTTGATACACGAATAACCTAAAACATTTAGTAACATAATCAAAGGCAGAAAATTAGCAAAAGCAGAATTTGCTAAAAACATGTTGACTTAATATTAATTTTCATTAAAATGTTGCTAATAGGTAGATGGCTTACATTTAAATGGCTATAAATTGGAAATTGTCATATTTTGTAGGGAAATTCCTAAATTCTGGTCTACTTGCAACATCATTTTCTTAAGGATAAATCATCACCTTGCATTATGGCATACCAGAATCAGAAAACGTGCTTTATCAAACTACACAAATACAGCATCTTCTCACACAAGTCAAAACAGTGAGTGACCACATCTTCCCCAGCTTTATGACCCTCTCTAATTAGTCGTTATTGGTTTTACCTTCTTAAAACTCTGGTGTTTATTCTCTGTTCTACTATTTTCATAGTAGTTCTCTGTTTTCATAGTTTAAACTGAAATAAACTATTTTCATAGTTTATTCTCTGTTCTACCAGTTTTCATTGTTTTTGTAGGTTCTAGCTGCTAATGGTCTACCCAGATTCTATCTTTATTTCTCTCCAATCTCTATTTCAGCCAGAGTAATCTTTCTGTGAAGCAAATCTGGTCTGGTCCTGCCATACTGTAAAGATTTTCAGGGGATTTACATTGTTACTTGGGAAAATATTAAAATCTTTACTGTGGCCTATTACCTTTGGGCATACTATCTCCAGCACACTGTAATATACACCATTTCCTTCCTGGCACTTCTTTCTGATGCATAATCATTGTACCTGCTGTTCCTATGATCTGGTTTGACCCTCCTGAAAATTCTTCAAGGAAACACTTATTCAAATTCACATACCAGCTCAATAACCAACTGTTCAGGGAAACCATCTATGTAATCTTTGATTAGAACCATAATTATTTATATTATAGCTATAAGTATTTAATTATACTCAACATGATTATATACTTTATGTATAATTATATATTACATATGAACATAATTTCTATTTATTCGAATGATTATTATAAATATTATCACTAATTCCAACAATTACAATTATTGTACTAACAAAAGCTCACATCCTTGATTTTTTTAGCAGTTGTGAGAGCAGAAATTTTATATATTTATATGATGCTTTTAGTAGTGTCTGACTCATACTAGACTATAAGTTGCAGGTAGGCTGGGC